CAAAATTAAAAAAGCAAACAAAAACTTCATCAGTTATATTGTAGAGACGTTTGTCTCAGTATCATGCCCCCTGGGCAGTATTACGAAAACTTAGACGCATTTTATTGATATGCCATTATATACTCAGCCTGTGTAAGGAAATAAAAGAACTCCTGCAGGGTAAGGTAGGTCCGTGAGAGGACCTTTAGAAGCAAAAAATTGCCTGAACTAACTCACACAGGACGAAATCCCACGTTTTCACATCGCCATTTTTACGATGAGAGATGTATGGCCTACCATCTTACCGAAGATTTTGCCCTACCTGGGTGCGTTGCGAGCTGTGTTGCAAAGAATACACGCCTTCTGACGACCCGCATCAATGTTATAACGGGCGATGTCGCGCATGCAGGGAAGATGTAGATTTGACATCGCATCAGTGTTACATCCAACGCGTGGAAGAAGAGGAAGACGAGCCCGTAAAATAACCCAAAGACCTGTACAAAAAGGAGAAACGACAAAATCCCGATGTCAGCCCTTACTTAGACCCACCCATTTTTGTCTACGCCGATTTTGCAGCAATAATCGAGTCTGACGTTACCCTGTCCCCATCTTGTTGCGCGCCGAAACGGGGGACTCGGACGAGTGCCACACCTTTTACGGTCCAGAATGCACTGGGAAATTTTTGGAATTTTTAGATACCCTGATCTACGGCATGGACACTCACCCCATTCCTAAAGAAGAGAGCCGTGACGTCATATGTATATTTCACAACCTCAAAGGATACGATAGTGTTTTTTTACAAGCACAACTCTTAAAAGAACACCGAGGATTTGAGTTCATGATCCCTAACGGAACGAAACAGTTGTCTCTATCATATGGAAGAGTGCAATTAAAAGATTCCTTCTGTTTCATTCCATCTTCGCTCGCCCAAATTTCCAGCAAGTTTGGAATTGACGAACTGAAGAAAGGGTTTTTCCCACACGCTTTTCACACTCCCGACAATGCGGAATATGTGGTTGCCTCACCGGATCGCGTTTATTTCGACCAGCGTTCATGTCAGAGAAAAAATGACCGAGTTTGAGGAGTGGTACAGAGAAGAATCTGCCCGTTGTCAACCGCCTGCCGTGTACGATCTAAAACGTGAGTTGATCGAATATTGCGGTTCGGATGTTAAATTATTGAAAGCCGGATGTCAAAAATTTGTGGCCGAATTTCGCGCGGTCGCTGGCTTTGACCCGCTCGTAAAATGCGTCACCATCGCCCAAGCGTGCAATCGCTACTGGTGCAAACGAGTCACGGAGGAAGATAACATCGCCTTAGAACCGTGTAGTGGTTGGCATGGGGCTCGTCCACCGCATTCTTTGAAATCTTTAGAGTGGTTGTTGTGGGAAGAGAGGCGGCGTGGAATTCGCATATGTCACGCAAGAAATGGCGGTGAAGTGTGCTTACGCTTGCCTGGTCACACCTATCACGTGGACGGATATCACCAAGAATCGCGCACCTGTTTCGAGTTTCAAGGGTGTTTGTGCCACGGATGCCGTACCTGCTTTCCCGATAGAAAACAAGTCCCTCACTGTACCATGGATTTAAACGTGGAAGCGTTAAGGCGTTAGACGGTTCAAAAACTCGAAGCGTTTCGTGACGCCGGGTACACGGTCGTGGAAATGTGGGAATGCGAGTTTTCCAATCTGAAAAAGCAAGTTGGGGAGTGCCGTGACTTTGTCGCAGATTTACATCTGGTGGAACCGTTAGAACTGCGCGAGGCATTTTTTGGTGGGCGTACTGGTGCCGTTTCGCTCTATCATCGGGTCACAGGCGATGAACAGATACGTTACGTCGACGTGACAAGCGAATACCCGTGGGTAAACAAGAATGGTGTGTACCCTGTAGGGCACCCCGTCATCTTGTACTAGCCCGAAAATCAAGATCCCTCAGCCTATTTTGGAGATA